TCATTCGTATAGAGAGCATCCGCTCTGCGGAATAATAACGTAAGAAAGTAATAGTAAAAGAGAGAACGTGGCAGATGTTTTCTCGTTGATGCTTAGAGGGCACGGATGATCGTAAAATAATCTAACGGATTGTATTGGCACTCCGAATAAAAGTATCCGCATCTCCCATTGGAGTTCCGCCCGATCTTCTCGGCCGCGAAGTATTCGCGATCGGAGTAGATTTCGTATTCTTCGAAGGTCGTTGAGGGCGTAAGTAGAACGTGCAAGAGTTCCCCTAGGAGTCCGCGTCCTTTCTCGAAGGGATTCGACGCTGATTCGCAAACGGCACGGAGTAGACAAGCCTTACCGGAGCCTAGCTTTCCCATCGCTGATTCCAGCATTCTGTAGAGGGTCCAACGGCTCAAACCTATATTGCCAGAGGGAAAAAAAGGAAAAAAAGAAAGTAAATGGCTAACATTGCTACAATAGATAGAGAGAGAAAGAGAGAGAGAGAGAGAAGAGAGAGGGAGAGAGAGAAAGAAAGAAGAGAGAGGGAGAGAGAGAGAGAAGAGAGAGGGAGAGAGAGAGAGAAGAGAGAGGGAGAGAGAGAGAGAAAAGAGAGGGAGAGAGAGATCGTATAGGCAGCGATATCCTGCTCGATTTTTTTATTAAAGGATATCACCGAATATAAATCAACTATGACTTTGGGAAGGATCATATTACTTTTTTGTTAAAAAAATTCGCATAAACGAGAATCATATGTGACATCATAAATGATATAAATGTTATTAGAGTAATACTTTTTACCAGCTTGATTACTGTCTATATAAATATATTTTTTTTCATATAACGTAATAACAAACCTATCTTCTCGGTGTATTAATTAATCCGCATTTTATCTTGAAATATCTTTTAAATAATATCGATGAAATTGTGACGAGAACTTCGACTTTCTTAACTTCGGTTTTATTTCCTCTTCTTCCTTCTTTTCCTCTTTCTTCTTCTTCTACTCCTTCTTCTTCTACTTTTTCAACGATTAGATCGCACGACTTTAATTAACGAGACCGGGGAAAAATTTAGCAAGTATAATTTTTAATGCAGTCCTCGTCACGTCCAGTAAATATTATTTTAAACGCTTTTCAACATCGCATTTCTATTTTCTTTTTTTTTCTTCTTCTTTTTTTCGTTCTTGCTTTTCCATTTTGTTTTGCACTAAGTTAACATAAAAGTGAAATCACAGGAATTTCATATTTCAAATATCATTTTATAATCCGATCGAAAGTGATTAGATTTTTAAAGAATTTTTTTATATAAACTGCGTATATACTATCTGGGAATAATTTCAGTATTTCTTTCATAAATCTAAAAAGCGGCAATAGTAGAAAAATTAATCAGGTCGTAGTAAGTTTCTACAAACGCATCTCTTTGTTTATTAAGAAAGGAAAGTATTGTACGGTGTGAGTATACCCACACATATTGGCGTATACAAGAAAGGAAATTAAAAAGGTGAATAATCTCACCGAAGTGGCCTGATTTATATATGAGTACTCGAGCTCGTGGTGCTTTTTTTCCCTCTCTTCATCTCATTCTCTCTCTCTCTCTCTCTCTCTCTCTCTTTTTCTCTCTTTTCCTTTCTTTCTCATTTTTTGATGTTCTGTTTTTTTCTCTCCCTTTTACCTCGGTGCTCTGGTTTTTCTCCCTGCGGTAGAGCGTTGTCGGTGAACTTTTTAAATCGTGCGTGAGCTCTTGTGAAATCCGACGAATTGTAGGGTAGATCGTAATTACACTTCAGCACGTAACCGAGAGTCATCGATATATCCTCCTCCATCGGTAGACCAAGACCAAAAAGCACCTTTTTCAAAAAATTAGAAATCCATTAGCTAACGATCGTCAGTTCTTTTATTAATTGATCCATTCTTTTTTGGTTTTTTAACTTTTGTCAAAATACGTATAACATATACGTATAACATATATGCTAATAACAAAGATTTTCGAATAACAATAATAATAATAATCATTATAATTATTACTATTATTATTATTATTATTATTATTATTATTATTATTATTATTATTATTATTGTTATTATTATTATTATTTTTATTATTGTTATTATTATTATTATTGTTATTATTATAATTCATATAAAAGGTATGAGTTTTAATCGAAGTTTAATTTAATTAATATCTCGCTTGGAATTTATAAAAGATATATACATAAATAAATAAAAAAAGGAAATTGAAGATTTTGATGGACAGTCCAATAATATTTTCTAGATATAATCTAACTATCAACGTAGATATTATATTTCACTTTTAAACGCTTGAAGAAAGGCAAGAGTGAAATAGAGAGAATCGCTCGGCGGTCGTACGAGTTTTAATTACTTTTGTCTCTGCATCTGCTACCGCCACCATATACTCATTCTTTACTTTGCGATTATGAATTCACGACGACCAAAGTCAAACAGAGGCGGACTTGCGAATCAAAAAAGAAAAAAAAAGAAAGATAAAAGTATTATGTAACTTTTCATATGCTGGTATGTATATACGAGATATCGGAAGAGTAACTTACAACAACTGTTTCTCAAAAATATGACACGCAAAATAAATTCATTTATCGTTTGTAAATTATGCAACGAAATTTCTAAAAATCACTGAGAATGGATTTGAAATAAAATTAACACATTGACCGTCGTGCGATTTGTAAATTTAAAAAAAAACGCTCGTCTATAATCAAACAATGTAAAAAAAATCATAAAAATAAACACGTTAAAAGGTGTAATAATAAAAAAAAATCATTGAAAAAAAAACGAACCTGAACTTTTGTTTCGCTATCCTTTGGATCAGGAAAAAGCAAATGTCTCTTCTCTCTTAAAAAACTTCTAGTTCTCTCGTATTCTCTTGTTTCCGATCGAGAAATTGCAGTGCAACCGGAAATGAGAAAGAGGAACCGGACGTAAGCGAATCTCATCGTTCCGTTGATCTTAATCTGTGAGTAAAAGGAAACGAAAGAAAATAGTAAGATGAAGCTAAACGAAAAAAAAAGAAAGATAATAAGAAAAAATTAAAAAGGAGCAAGAGGGAAAGGAGAAGAAAGAAAAAAATTAAAAAAAAAAAATTGGTTCAAAGAGGAAGATAATTTTGTCCTGAGCGAAGAATTCGACTCGTCACTCGAGATTCTTGCGTTACACGGACGAAGAAGAGGACTCGGAGAATTACGTAAAGCATTTCGTTCGTTCCGAGTGTTTGCTTTGTCTAACTGTACCCACGAACACGCAGAGAGAGGAGAGAAAGAGAAATATACAGTCGACTAGGACGAACTCGTAAAGAAACTGCTTCGTACGTAAGTAAGTTGGAGAAAGACATTATAACAGTTTGAAAGGAGTTCGTTGTTTCTCAAAAACGGCCTTAAGGTTTCTTCTTACACGGATTAATAGTACATAGACAAATGTACCAACCAGAAGGACGATTATTGTGGCAATCCTCTTTCAACATATCGCTATCGGTGATACGTATTTTGTAAGCTTCGCATCACAGGATATCCATTTTAAAACGGCGCCGAGCTTTTACCAGTCAATATAAACTTCACCGCATTCTTGGGAATAAGTGCTACAATATTATTGAACGAAAACGTACTTATCTATAACACGAAGAAAAGAGTGCGACTATCATTTTTACTTATACGTAGGTATCCCTTTTCCCATGCGATTCGTGATAGTCCACGCAATATCGGATTCGATTGGCTTTCTAAAAGCACGCCATTGCGATCGTAAGATAGTGCAAAGTGTTCTCTTTTTATCCTATAAATTCAACGAAAACGATCGATCGATTTGTTTTTATAAATGAAACAAACGTCTTATCGATAGAAAATAAACAAGGAAAAGCTCGACGCTAGTGACTTTCTTTACTGTTGACGGGAGCGTTCGTTCGTTCGTTCACAGATGTCTCACATTTAATCTGCTGTTAACGTGTTCGTCCAAGTCGTCAAACTCGGAGATAGCCGAAACTCTTCATCGACCTATTAGAAGCTTGTCATTCCCAGAAGCTAGTACGATGGGTGTAAGTTACAGGCATGTCATGTATGTACAATCTCGTGTCTCGAGAAAATTGAACGTTCGTTAAATGGAAAAGTCGTTTATACGACGAATCTTTTTAACATTATTACATTGACATCATCGAAAATAATAAAGTTAATTAGTTGATTAAATTAAAATGATTAAATTAACTTTTACAAAAATTCGTTCTTGAATCTCGGATCTTCGATTAGTTCGATTAAAGAATTAGAAATAGAATTTTGATTGGCTTTTTTTTTCTTTTTCCTTTTTTTTTTTTTTTTTCTTATTATTCTTTATTTCTTACGAAAACGAATCATTCTTCACGAGAAAAAAAAGTTGTGTCTACGAACGTGAGATTCCGAACGATCCTTCGATTCGTGAGAAATCTCAAGTAGCTTGACTCGCTAACTCGAGAAATCGAGAATCGATCGTTTCCAAGGAACTGAGGAGAGAAGTGGGATTGATAACGTCGATAACGATTACAGAGATCTAATTCCTTTCAGATCTTCCTCGCTATCGCTGTGCCACTCGAAGATCCCCAGAAATCGATTTCCTTGTCGTATTTCTTCGAAGCCAGCTACAATTTACCCTCGAACTTGTCGTACTTCGAACCTTGGTCGGCGAAGGCTTCGAAAGGAGAAAGAAAAAGAAGGAGCAGCATCGACAGAACCACGATCTACCGGGTACTCGAAAGTAAATTCAAGAGGTAAGCTCGTGGCTCGATAATACTTCGAGAAGTCGATCGACGACACAAATGAGAAATTTGTGCCATGTGCATCGTCTTTACAAGTACAACGGGGAAAACGTTCGCTCGCTATAACAGAAATGAAAATTTTTCAATTCTGTTTCGACTTCAAACATGTATTTTATGTAGAAAGAAGAAGAAAAAAAAGAAACAAAAAAGAAAAAAAAAAAGATAATATTCGCTCGACAAGTTCGTAAATTCATCGAGAAATTAAAATTAAATAGGTAAGTACGTATTACTACGAACTATTCCGTTGAGAATGAAGAAAATCGAAATATAAAAAAATCATTATTCGTTTTTCCCCGTTGGCCATTTTCACGAGTACATTGAGGCATTTAAATTCAAAAGATGTTTCAAAAGCTTAGAAGAGAAGGTGGTTGGTAAAGGTGAATTCACGGAGCACATACTCGCGAACGCCAAGCAACCGAGTGAGTTCGTCAGGCAAGTTGCTTTACCAAAAGTCTTCCTTTCTCGCTCTCTCTCTCTCTCTCTTTTTCTCTCTCTCTCCCCCTCCCTCTCTCTCTCGATTTTGGTTTTACGAGAAAGCTCCTTCATTTGTGGAAACGACGACACGCTACTGAGATATAACGTATGTGCGAACGTGGCCCGAATTACGTATGCGAAATCCTCTGCAGTTAGAGGATCCTGAAGTCCAATGTAAATAGTACTTAGCTTGGGAAGCAGTAACGACGAGCCAGAATAATTTCGTCTCGTTATCTACTTACCTTTATTTTTCTTTCAACGCTTATTTTCCTTCTCTCTTGACGATTCAGCTCTGGATATCTTGGAAGGGAATGCCTACTGAAGACTATCTGCGAGAACTCGGAATATCCTTTGAGACATAATGGTGTCATCGGTGATATCTTCCACGTCCTATTCACGTAAGTTAATCGAAAGAAATAATGAATGTTCGATAAGTCGAATTTACTTAGATTTTTATTTTTTAAAAATCCTCATTTCTTTTGTAAGAAAAATTTAATTTATAGAAAATTAATATAATATACATGATAAAAAATAACATTAAATTAAAATATAGAGTAAAAAAAAATAACAACAACAAAAAATTCATTAATACAAAAATCCATAATTTATTGAAAAATACTCCATTATAGATCCAAGTTTATAATCGTTTAAATCTTCTCATTGGAATTAATAAACGTTTATTTTGTCGACACACGGTGGTAAAAGGAGAAAGAAACTTTTCAAAGTTTTCATGCATTAACTCAAATGGACATAGTAATTTTATTAAGTGGAAAAGAGCTAACAGCCACGGTTGAAACGTTTTCACGATAAATCTTATGTTCCACTTCCGATGTTATAAACGTATTCGCCGAACTCGTTCATTATCTTGCTCGTTAATGCAATCATAGTCGGAGCCGGGAAAGTTTGCTTTTTAACTAGTGAGAAATTATTTTCAACAGCCAAGAGGATACTTGTTTATTTCATTTTCTGAATATGAGAATAACGTGAATTTCACTAGCATGTAGTAAAATGTATGTAGGTAATTTACTGTTCCACATAAAATAGAGATGTATTTCTTTCGAGAAGAGAATGTAACAATATGCATAAGCGTTATTTGATCATGCGATAATGACGTTTACAAATATGTTAAAATAATTATTTTCAGCATTTTTAAGCTGGCGAAATCTATTCGTAAAATGAATTTGTTTTAATCTACTACATTCTCAAAATATAAAGGAATACCAGAATTTAGTGTTTCTCGAATGCCAATAACAATCTAGAAAACGAATGGAATTTTTCGAGAATAAAAGAAATAATTAACGATCCCGAAGAATAAAGAATCATTTTCATTTCTTTTTCTTCTATTTTGTCTATCGTACAATACTATGAGAGCAACGAGTCTAAGCAAAATTGCATAAAAACCATAAACGAACAAATTAACGTCATAATTCACATCGTGAAATAGTAGTTGTGTATATCGATCCATGGAAAGCTAATTTTCGATACTCAAACGATTTTAATCATTTTTATTTTGTTTGTTAGTATTTATTTCTGTCTCTTATTGCATTTAATGATAAAAAGATAAGCTCATTATGATTAAATTTTTATTACTGTATAACTTCATAGAATTTTTAAATTACCTTATCATATGTATTATTTCATTCTTTCGTTATTATCTTTTCACAAATGGAAAGTAAGTATGTTATAGAGAATTAATGAAGCTCCATATATTTTAATATTAAATGTAATTCATACATATATATATATATATATATATATATATATATATATATATAATTTAGATCACTAAATCTCCATTACGAAATCAATATTAATCAGAAGCGATGTTGATTTAAAACGAAAGGAAACGATACAAATCGGTAAAACTAACAACAATGATATACTTTAACTAAAGTAATCGATTAAACTCAAAGTTAATGAATAAAATGGAATGACTCGAAATATGCGTCAGAGTAGTAGGTCGAGATAAAAAACAAAAGAAAAGGGAAAAAAGAAAAAAGGGGAAAAGAAATGAAGGGGTTTTCAGTCTAATTCCCTTTATTCTTCTTCTAACATTCCTTTTTTTTCCTTTTTTGCCTTCTTTTGTATTTTTTGGATATATGTATCAAGGTGACATAAATTGGAGTAGATATACATACATACCGTTGAAAGTAAATTTGGTTTGGCCTTCTCATTTTTATATTTCTTTTATACTGTATCGGCTAGCTTACTATACGTGCATTCGCAAGCACACGTACTCTTCTGTACTTATCTGTGTGTCTGCATGTGTGCCTCTCTCTCTCTCTCTCTCTCTTTCTTTTTCTCTCTTTCTCTTTTTCTCTTTCACTTTCTGTACATGCGTGCATGTGAGAGTGAGTATGTGTGTGTCTGCGTGCTTATACGCGTGGGAGCATAAGTTCTCGAGCCAGGGACGTATGAATAAAGAAAAGAGCCCGCGGGCAGAAAACGCGACGACGTATTGTCGTCGTCGTCGATGTTCTCGTCGAGAAGCTCCGTCGTTGCTTTCGACTTCGCAGAAACGAGAAAATGGATCGTACGTTTAAAAAAAGATATTTTCTCTTTATCCTCGTGATTTATGATTACACGATTGCTCCTCGAATCTCGATGAACGTATATATATATATATATATATATTACGGTTCGATCACTGAAGACGAATTTATTATTTTAACGAGACTAAAAAATAAAAATTATCAATATTTTTAATATGATGTACATATATGAAAAATACTTTTGTTAAAATTGATTCATTGATTCTTAACGAGTTAATTTATGGGATTACATACATTTAGAAAGTTCGAAATAATCGATTTTTTCAAAAATATTTTTATTTAATGAAATAATCGATTTTTTCCAAAATATTTTTATTTAATAATATTATCCTACTAGAATATTCTTTGAAAGTTCAAAAAATTGACGAAGTTACAGCCAATACGACCCTGTCGAATTCGATATTATATTTACCTTAAACTTTAAATGCCTTTTCTCAAAACTATGTTTTTCAAATCGGTGCCAATGATATTTTGAAAACTACTGAATCGATTTGAATGAAATTTGGCACGATTTCTTTTCATATGTATTATCTTATTTTTGTGATACGAAAATTTATGCAAGAAGTCGTAGTTCCTATTTTTAATCGTTAAAGAACTATTGAAATTTTTTATCGAAAGTCAGATGGTAAATTTAATCACTCATACTTTTTTTATTAAATGAAACTATTAAAAGAGAACTGGCTTTTTTATCGTACTTTATGAGTTTTTTGGTTTTTTCCATTTTTGATAATATCCTGAGGCGATATTATTGACATTGCAAGCACCGTTCAAAACGATTCTGTTTGATTCAATGTCGATAATTCGAAGAGAATAACGGATAGCTTTAATTTTTTTGTTGGAAAATATTTCTCAAAGTACACACTATCAGACTTATTTAATGATTTTTTATTAACAAAATGAATTACATGCAAAACAAAATCATAAAATTAACCTTTATTTCGTATCGTCTAAATATATGCAATCCCTTTAAAGAGCATTAATTTCATTATAATTTTTATTTATAATAATTATAATGAATATTTTGAGGATATTATCTTAAAAATTGTTAATTTAATAATATTCCTTACTAATGTTCTCAATATAATTCTTATTTATAACAAAATTTCAATATTTATAAAATTTTATTGTATTTGAAATGAAAATATATCTTCGAAACAAATGCAAAAAGATCTTATCTGTGATAAAATCGAAAGTTATTCAATATAATTTTAAATGATTATGTATCATATCGAGATCGCAGAAGTTTCGATAATTAACACTTTCGTTACTGTTTTCAATGACTGTTTTCAAACCCAGTATTGTTTCAGTCCTACGACTTCGCGACATGAGAAACTGCCGCGAGATATCGTCGAGGCCGAGCTGGTTGGACGTAATGGAAGCTGCTCGAAGTATCAACCGCAATGCCCCGTGGGACTCTTCGACTTGATTGGAGTCCTCGTATGAAGCTCGGAAAACCGCAACGGTTTGTCACGCCGCTACTTCCGACGAACGAACGGGGCTGATTTCGTCTGCATAATGAAAACCACCGAAAGAGCGAAAGCCGAGAGAATTAAATAGAACGAGCATATCTCCAAATGTTTTTTACTTTTTTTTTTCTTTCTCCATTTAATCTCCTGTAATAAAAACTAGATTGCAATATGATTATTATTTTTATTTCATTTAACGAAATCATAAAAACGTTTTAGTACAAATATATAATATACATACATGTAATATTAACTTTCTATTAAACCATATAAATTTGAATTCACATACTTTTACATCTATAATGTTATAAAATGTTATTTCATTTCGTTGTCTACAAATTTAATTAATATTTCATAACTGAAGTAATATCATTTCTTTTTCTAGAAATGAAAAAAAGAAAAATTGAATTCTAGAGAATTAATCATATACATTACAATTAATATGTAAAATAATTATTGTGAATCTAATTTACATAGTGAAAGTAATCGTTCTTTAACGATACGATATTATACAAGAAAGTATATTGTTTATATTAATTTTAAAATTATCTTTAGAATATATAAAAAAACAAAAGAAGAAACTTTTAACGTTTTACTTTTGAATTATCTTCTATATTAGCAGCTCCTGTTAGATTGACGACATGTGTGAGGTATATTCTTTTTGTTTTATTTTTGAACAATAAAAGTGTCTTATCAAAGTTATCAATACAAAAATGACTGAAACTTATAATTGTAATACTATTATTGAATTCTGTCAACAATATAAATATTGATTAATACATATCTTAAAAATATATTGTAAAATATATATACATCTATATTTTTTTCAATGAAGAATAAAATGAATAAACCTATATAAAAATCTCGATATTCTTAAATTATTTTAATACTCTATAATAAAAACAGTATTAAAATATACCATTCTTCTTTTTCGAAAATATCTTATTACATTTAGGATCAATTAAATATTTCAAACTTATATAATATATTTTCAATATTTCATAAATAATATAGTAAATTATCGATCATTATTTTATTTTCCTGCCCTCAATTTATGCTATTTCCTTAATGCAACGCGATCTGTAATTTTTATACTTATTGATTTTACCTTTGGTGTAATAAACTCTTTTATACTCGATTTTTCTTTCCTTCGACCTCGATAAGATTCAAATAATCGTATCGAGTATTACGTACCTTTGACGCTTCTCACGATCCAATAGATGTTAAGAATAGGAAAGATGAGAGATAGTTTCAAATTTTTTATTGCTTGAGAATACGTCTATACGAACGAATGAGTGAGTGTAAGAGTGGATACAGAGGAGGTAAGGATATATAAGAAAAGCATAAAACGATCATTCCTTCTTACACTCGTTTTCAACTTGATTGGACTTTCTCATCCTAACTGCACGGTTGCAAGAATGGCCAAGCTACGAGACATTCACCACGAAGAAGTCGAAGGAGCTTCCTTTTCAAGAAGTAAACAAGCTGATTTTATCTACATAATGGAATTACGTTGGCGCACGTAATGCGGGAGTGGCTCCTGTAAAAACGAAAGATCACAGCCTTGACTGAGAAAGAAAGGAAGAAAGTAAAAGGAAGAAAAGAAATAAGGAAAAAAGAAAAATGCTTTATAATGATCGAGTCGCGACAACAAAAAAGCCATCGTTTTTTATCTTCTATTTTAGATATATATGCGTTAACGAATTAAAACGTCAAAGGAAACGTTGAATTGTTGCTTTTTTGAATACTTGAGTAATCAAATATTTTTAAGTACATCTTTTCTCGTCCTTTGTAATGCTACCGATTTAATCGGATGAGAAATAAGAAACATATTCTGCCAGAAATAGTAAATATAGAAGTAGTTACGTTTTTGAAGAAAATAAACTATATTGTATAGTCTTGCAATATAAGGAATCTTCAAATAAATGATACGTCACTGATCGACGTGCTTTCATCTAACTAGTAAATTTTATTAATGATCAAAAATTGCGTGTGCGTTGTTTAAGTGAAATAACGTAATTGACTATTTTACAGTTTCGAAAGATGCATACATTCCAAAAATCATTTTAGTATATGTAGCTGAAATTTAATAAAATAAGGGAAAATCAAAGGAAGCATGAATATCTCTTTGATATATATACGAAATTACAACAATGATAGTTCGATGCAAAGAAAGCTGTCTAATTTTCATGAAAACTTTGCCGGTGGATTTTAAATCAGTCCGGAGCTCTACAAGCCCTACAGTTGGACGAATATTGGATTAGATTATCGCAGCAAATATTCTGCATTGTCGACCGAGCAAATTCACTCCCCGTTGCTATCGAAATTACGGTTATTAAAGCTCAGCGATATCGCGAACCACCGAACAAATCCCTCGATTAAAATCATAGACACGTATGTATACGTGGCTTTGATCGAGATTCGATTCGTATAGACGGGGAAAAGAGAGAAAGAGAGAGAAAAGAGAAAGAGAGAAGAGAGAGAAAGGGAGAAGAGGGAGAAAAGAGATTTGATCGAACCAACAATGGACAATACATATACTATAATGTTTATCTAACGATAATAATTCATTGTTATTATTGTTATTATTATTATTATTATTGTTATTATTATTATTATTATCATTGGTATTATCAGTAGAAACTCGAAAATGATGTACATACGTAGACAGAACGAGGAAAGAAAAGCGCTCGGAAAAACGAGGTCTTTTCGATTTAGCAAACTTTCGTGAGTTTTCATTAGAGCTTCGAGAGTGTCGTACCAACCAAGAGTGCTGGAGGGTAGAGAGAAGGACCGACCGAAGGCAAGCTGCTACTCTCACAAATCCTGATAGGGGAGCGTTATGTAGTCGTAAATCCCGTACTTGCAGGTGGAATAAATTTCGGAACATTTCCTCGTACCATCGACCTTCTCAGCTTCGGCGTATTCCTTGTGAAGATCGACTTCGAAACGTGATGAGGATGGTCTGCAAAAGAAAAAAAAAAGAAAGAATGGAAGAAAAAAGATAAAAAAAGAAAAGAAAAATTAGATGTCCTCGTTAAAACAAAAACAAAAATGTTATGATTTTTCAATTTTATAGGAAAAATAAAAGATTCGAATTTATCAGAGCAATTCATAATTAAAGAATAAATAATTCAAGGACTCCTATTATTCTTCGTCGTATACAAATTGGTTTACTCATTACGTCGAAGAAACTGCGAATTTATCTGGAATATATGAAGAGACACGTTAATACACTCACGTGAACAGGATTCTCAAAAGATCTCCAAGGACACCAGCATTGAGCTTCCAGGGCAGTCGTGTGGTCTCGCATATAGATCTGAGAAGGCACTGTCGAGCCGGATAGCCGATTCTGGAGGCACGTAACGAACGATCCATCATCTGGTTTCTCTTCTTCAACTTTGCTATAGGATACGGCGAATAGTAAAGCGAGACAAATGGGGAGTTTTTAAAAAGCTCGGACCGAGATAAACGCATATACGCGGATCCGTTCCGCGAACAAATTCTTTCTCTTTTCTATTAAACTCTTGGACACGAGTGTTACTTTCTTCCGTCGCTTGATCTTTCTCTTTATTCTGTATGTGTATCTATTTGCGACTGACGAATAACAAGAAAATTGGATCAAATTTAGTGAGAAGAATGGATAGGAAAAAGCTAGTGTGTTCTTGATGAGAAGATTGTTGTACTTACTTAAACAGCGAAAACAATACTCACGAAAAATGAGATTTTCTAAGACTATCTACGGGATATCTCGCTTCTGATCGATAGGATTTCTGTGTGACGTTAAATCGCTTTGATTGAAAAGAGAACATTCACTTTGAAGTGTCACGGGATATAGTATAATTAACGTCAAAGGGATATAACGGGAAGTTGGATGAAAAATGACTTTTGTTCGTCCTTTGAAGAATCCATCTATGTCAGAACACAAGTATCTACGGTATATGTATATATGAGACTGTACTTCTCTTAGTTGAGAAGTACAGAGAAGGAGAGAAATTTCACAATACAGGTAAACAACAAACGAATCTGATAAATAGAGTACAATAGTGAATTCTCGAAATTAGGTAATTAGAATCTCTGTAATGTTCGTTCAATTGCCTTTTAATTTCGTGCAAATAACAAAGAAAAAAAATAAAAAAAAAGGAAAAGCTCGCAATACGTAGTCAAAAGGAATCGAAAGGGAGAAAATAAGATGCGGATTATTCGTTGCGAAGGATCGATTTTCTCGAAGGAAAATTGACGATGTTATGCGACAATCGGTAGACGTAGGAACGACAGATTTAATTACTCCGTTCGATAGTCGATAGTCACGAATACCCTTCTACGAGACGATTCATCTTATCAACTTCGAAGATTGATTAACGTTACTCTTCGAGAATCCATTCGAAGCAGTCGCTGTCCTATCTTCCTAACAAGGCTCCTTCCGATGAACCGACACATTCGTGCACTAGCCTGATGAATCTCCCCTTTCTCCTCTCTACGTGCACGACTCTCCCATGCTTTATATACCTTCTGTCCTCTCTTGTCTATATATGTATGCGTATGTGCACGCGCACTTGTATATATATATACGCGCGCGCGTGTGTGTGTGTATGTGTGTGTGTGTGTATGAACGTGAGCGCGCGCATTCCCTTGTGTGTGTACGTACGAAGCCTAGCGTGTTCCGCGACAGATGCGAGACATTTAAATTGAATTTGGCAAGTACGAGAGATTTGCATACTGACGTTATACCATCAGACGGTGAGTTGCACCAAGATCTCCGTCAGAAGGTCGATGATGCCAGAGATATTAAAAGACTCTTTGTAATCTCTGAGAGAGAGAGAGAGAGAGAGAGAGAGAGAATATAACTCGTTCAATATGTCGTTATACATGACTATACAAATTTACTCAATTACCAAGAATATTTTTCTTCAAATTATCTACCATCGAGATTTCGTTCTATAACAACGTAAAAAATATCACGCAAAGTTCTATTCGTTTTGTTAAAGAAAAATGTCTTTCATATTAAAAAAAATTTTAAAAAGAATAAAATTATTTGAAAATAATTATTTACTGAACTGACGGAACTTTTCAATAAATCTAAGATAATACTCGATCGTTAATCGTTAAATGCGCGTTTCGTGAAGAATAAAAAAAAATGATGTCAATATTTAATAGTTGTATCTTCAAAATACTATATATCTACGTATATACTATATCTCATTATATTTTTCCATAAATTGTCAAAGGATAAATGTTCAAATCTTCTCAAGCGAAAGAGATTAATCGTTTAACTGAGTCCAAAGTTCAGACGATGAATACCAGTCCCGATCTCTGCCGCGATATCAACAAAATTTACATCCTGAGTGGTGCTTTATAAAATTAGTGTCCTTCGAAGGTCTATTGCGAGCGAGATATCAAAGACTGTCTCGACCTTATCCCGATCTACCCAGGTAAAGAGAACGTTCTATTTAATCTGTATTTTAAACGCTAGATTACACTGGATCGTTTATACTAACGATTTAAATTTTGATTCCAACATGGTATAGACCGTGGTGCGATCTATGCTTTTTCTTTGCCTTTTCTCTTTCCCTTTGACCTCTAAGTCGATATCATCCTTCGTCGGCAACTTATAATTCGCCTCGAAGAAAAAGGCAACGGACATCGAGTACGTCGTGATTGGATCGTCCAAAGGTATTGCGAGGGCAAAGAATATCTAGAAATGAAAGAAAATTATAATTATGTATATATATATATTTTTTTTTTCGATCTCTCACAATACATAAATTTCGTCCACTTGAGATTAAAATTATTCCGAATTGCTCTCTAGAATATTTCTTGCTATATCTGTTTACTACGTTTGCGAGTAACTGTAATGTATCTGAGAGTATAGTTCAACTATCTGAAAGCGATTGCGTTGTATAATATTTTCAAATCGATGGAATATTATTATCAGAGAGCTACATATTTTACGGAAATACCAATCGATTTCATATCCTGAAAGTAACTATTGGATAATAGCAGCACAAAAATGTCTGCAAGAAAAGAATGAAGGAAATATGAGACCTTCAAATTATAATATATACTTACAATAACAATACATACATATATGAAAAAAATTCAATATTAAACAGATGAATGTTAACGTTATCTCATATTAGGATGCTTATCCTAAAACAAACAATATAACAAATAAATTTAAACGGGCATAGGCGAATCTCGAATAGATATCACTCTGAAAGTTGCTGTCTCAGATAGTAAGCTCTCGACGAGCATGTTAGTGGCTATCCGAGAATAAAAATTTTCTACGTTGTTTTCAAACGTATACAAAATTTGAGAGTACTCTCGAAAGCAACTATTTCCAAGAAATTCTCAAGTGGACGGCTGCTTTAAGAATAGGATCTTTCAGAGAAACACTTCTATACGAACTTTTCCATATTCTTCTCTCGCAAACTAGAACGTCTTCTTTAAAACTGAAGCCAATGATCGATCAGTGAAGCTTATGAAAATAACGCAAGCTATCCTAAGGGAAGGAAAACGAGAGAGAAACGAAGATGAGACGAGATGATGCACATATAGGGTGTTTTAATTAACTCGAAAACCTTTTCAAATATCTTCGTTGCTGTTGGTAATGATATAGGTATTGATGTTATGAAAAAAAATATTTGAAGGAAAGTATCATTTAATCTAATGATAGTAATATTGTAATTAAGACAATAGTTTTTTCTAATAATAATAATATTGTGATTAAGACAAAAAATGATCAAATGATCATCGGGTTTTTTTCTTTCTTCTCTTTTTCTTTTTTTAATAAATTAAATCAAAAAGTTTTTTCCTTCGACATATTTTCGTATCATCAAAAGCAACAGAGATATATATTTTAAGTATATATTCGACTTAGGTGAAACACCCTATATATAGACGGCTCGCTTTATCTTCGAATCGAACGAACCCTAAAGACAAGCAGAGATATCCTCGAGTGTCTATTTTAAAAAGACGCAACCTGTTATGTAGGCGTACCAGGCTATCCCCCTTCATATTCATCGACAAGTTATCGCTGTTAACCGATAGGATCGAACAACCGGATAGCAATAACCAGAGAAAGCGGAGGTCGAGAAGGGTTAGTTAACTCCTTTACTTGTTGCTTTCTCGACATTAACGAGGGGCAACCAAGAAACCAAGCTAACCTTCTAACATTAACCATTCCTCACTATTCGTTCGCTTCATCTTTGTCGTAGTTATATTCCTACTTCTGTTATAGTTAAAATAGAGTGGGGGAAGAATGAAGGTATAAAAAAAGAAGAAAAAAAATGAGAACATAACAAACAAATGATACTTTGACTTTACTCTTATTACTCATAAACCACGTTGAAAGATTATTGTAAGATATGAAAGAATGATAAGTACAAGAGATTCGTTAGTTATTTTTAACAATAAATTAATTAACGTAAGTTATTTTTACAATAGCACATTTTTAAAGATACATCATTTGATACACACACATACATATATATATTAATTATTAATTACAATACTATATTAATCATGATAATTAATAATTATATAATAAAATTATATATTATAATGATATATCGGATAATTATTATCTTTATATTACTTATCGTTATGTCTATCAAATTATATTATTGATTATACACAAAATATAGCTACATTATACGTATATATATATATATATATATATATATATATATATATATGCATATGTAATACATACGTAGTAAATACGCAATGATGAGGTGGCTTGATAGGATTCCGCCACGAGTAAGCTGGAAAATAAAGTTGCGGCGGACTGCGATTAAAGCCACCCTCGCGTTGATTACTAAACTGGACGAGCTGCTAGTTCGCTGGTAACTCGTTGCCTGCCTGCCAGTCTCGTCGACCAAACCAGCCGAAAACGGAAATCGATGGCCTCGCTTATCAACGGCCACTCTCCTCTCTCTTCTTTCTTTCTCTCTCACTCTCTCTCTCTCTCTCTTTCTCTTTCTCTCTCTCTCCCTCTCTCTCTCTTTCTCTCTCTCCCTCTCTCCCTCTTTCTCTATCTCTTTAAGTCTCTCCATTTCGTCGATCACACTTAGAGGGTGAGAAATCAGTACACTCTAACCGTACCTAGCGAAAATAATTTTATGTTCGGTTCATTAACACAGGGGAATCCCAATTTTCTCTTGAAAATCGTTTATGATTTAATTTCCTCTTATATATAATTTCGTTTAAATTTCGTGCGATAAATGAATTTGATCGCAAATACTTTAGAATATTTCGTTATTAAATGTCACTTTAACTTTCGTATTCTTCCTTTTTCTTTTCTTTCTATTTTTGAAGATTGTATTGTTTTACTTTTTCTTTTCTTCAATAGTTCTGCATCTTATAATCGTCCTTTTCTTAGTCTATTAATTTGTTCTTCGAATTGAAAATAATAAAGTACTCATTCTATATATTTCTCTCTTTCTCTTCTAAGAAGAATCTTTATATTCTGTCATTTTTGTTCTGTTTCGATCGTTAGTATATATCAATTTCATTCCTCGTGATCTATATAAATAAACTAAATAGTCATGTAATCTTTGAAATCCACCCATTATTCAGTTCACGAATATCAACATGAATAAATGGGATTTACGCGATAGGAAATATACCTACATAGGAAATTTCGATTTTACAAATTCGATTAAGCGAATTACGAAGTGTGTACTTCCGGCCGAAAGTGCGAGGCTTTGAATTTTCCGATTGAAAACGACAAAGCATTCATTAAAACATCGAACGCGTACGGGAATCATGTCGGCGGCATATCGAACGACACATCGTTCCTCTCTGTACCTTTCTTCTTCTCACTCTCTCTCCCTCTCTTTCTCTCTTTCTCTCTTTCAAAACACACACACGTACACACATGATGCACCAACTGCATTTGCAATATTATCGCGACGCAATCAGGGCACGCGGCGCGCCGTAGTTCAAAATGCCAAACGATATTACGAGCCCTTCGTCACTGGCAAATACGTACGGCAAATAAGCGCCGCCCGCGTGTACGCAAATATTAATTAACAAGCCAACGCGTTGCATTTGTCGCTTGAACTGTTCGAAAAGGCAGATCGAGCTCAGATTTTGAAGAACGAAGTGAAAAAATTTTAGCAACTTTGTGTATTCAGACTTATTTCGCTTAGCTTTACCGCGATAGGCAAAATCGATAAAGTCCAATTTATCGACCAAGACAATTGTAAATATTATTACTTGATTTTTGTCATTTCCATGCTTGTGCGATTTTTTTAAATGACTGCAAATCGAATCAGAATTAAACATAAAATCTCGTTGATAAGTAACTTCATTTTTGAGTCAATCTGTCTGATCGTTTAAATCAATAAATGAATAATATACATGCAAACAATACTTTTGTAATAATAGTTCTAATTTTTTATAAGGATTTTCAACAGTCTCAATTAAACGCTAAGATAATCGTTTGTTACAGTTTTTGTTATGTAAAGAGCATAAGAAACTTTCTGAGGTTTTTTTTTTTTTTAAAGAAAATAAAAACGTATCAACGTAAATATAATGATAAATTCTCACCCCCATTTCGCTTTCCTCGGGATAAGAAAGACTCCTGATATGACGTCGTACAACTTCCGTCATATTTCTTCCCATAGCATTAATCGAAATAAGAAGAAGCGAGACGACGAACCTGAAAAAGAAAGATAGACGAAGTTAAAAACTATTTTAAAAAGCATCGACTAGATCGATCTAATTGATCTTGATCGATTTTCATTGAATACTATAATTGTCATATAACCATCCGTAACGAATACCTAACAACTTATCAAAGAGTAAAAATCAAGACGACGATGTTTCATTTAATATCTCAAAGAACAAATCTATTCTCACTAACCTTTTCCATTACTTGTTTTAATTGAGAATGGTACGCTTTATTTACCATTGCTGTGGAAAGATATTTAAAATTGTCCAGTCCATTGTACTCTCTGCTGTCCACAGCAGGAGGATCGAAAGACCGCGGGTCATGGAGAAAGAGAGAGAGAGGGGGGGAGGGAGAGAAAAAGGGAGAGAGAGAGAGAGAGAGAGAGAGAGAGAGAGAGAGAGAGAATGGAAACGATATTTCAATCTTCATTCTTTTACAATTTTGCTCTTTTTTTCCCACCGTGGCGAGCCGATGGGTAATCCGCATATCGCGACGAACGGTAGATAGATTTTCTTTTGAGGGTATTGGAGGGAGTGGCTGGTGATAACGCTGGCGTCGTTGGTGGTGAATGTATGAAGGGTAGGTCATGAAAGCAACGAGTTCGAGAGAAAGAGATAGAAAGAGAAAGAGAGAGAGAAAGAGAGAAGAGGCGGGTTGATTGTAACTGGTCGACCAGACCAAAGAGAAATTGCATTTCCTACCACGTATATCGTCAACTCTTGCGTCATTTCGTTTAAACAAACCGCGTCCATTGCTGCTTGGTATGGAGGCTTTAGTATGACCAGCCTCACCAAAGAGGTGCGGAACTCCCTTTTTGGTAGATTTACCAGCCACTTTGATTACGCTCTTGAAAATAATCCCAACTGGAACCTATCTCGATGAGAAAGTCTGTGATGCTTTTCCACCTAACCATCTCTCCATTTCTCTTTAACTATTATTTTTAATATACATAGATATATACAGAATATAAAATATCAACTTTATCCATTTGAATTATTTCCTTTATTTTCAATAATATCACCAAAAGATAGCTTATAATAAATTACGTATTTCTTCATATCGTATTACACACAACTTTTGTATATAATATTTTGGTATATTACTGAAAATAACAAAAATAATTCAAATGGATAAAATGAATGGTCCACTCTGTATATATATGTATCTCTCATAAACTCTTGCTGATACACTGATACATATGCATAGCATGATTATATTACATCGCGATACGAAAATCGTTGGATCCTGCGTACTCTGTCTCCTTAAGCAAGTACCACGTCTGTTGGATTAATGATACGACAAGGACTTTACCTTGGTTTAGTAAATAAATAAAAGCAAGCTTTTGGAAATGCGCCGAACGATTATGCATATGTATGATACTATTCGTTACTACGATAACACAAAATGTAAATCCAGCAAAATTATGTAGAACGTTGCTATATGTATATTTCATATACTTGTTTTTTCGTTTTCTTTTTCTTCTTTTGTATCACACGATATACGTAATATGTTTTTTTTTTTTGAATAGAAGAGAACGCATTTTTTCTATTTAAGATTCATGATATATCTCCGTTGATCTCGATACTAAATATAAAAGTGACAAAGCGTTAATAGCCGTGTACGATTTTTACGATGCGAAAGAACTTCTTAGACCAGCTTTGGCTTCTAAGCTTAAGAACTCCGAGGACTTGTATTGAAAGGATTTCGTTGTTCCACGAACGAGAAGAACGTGAAGCCGCAATAAAATCGTTTCAAGTGCCACGATCGGTACCTACTCGACAAGCGTTGAAATTGATGATAATGGAATCACTATTGAAAATTTTCTTTTCTTTCTCTTTCTCTTTCTCTTTCTCTCCCTCTCTCTTCTTCTCTTCTTCTTTTCTTCTCTTTCTCTCTCTCCCTCTCTCTTTCTCTCTCTCTCTTCTTCTTTTCTTCTCTTTCTCTCTTCTATAAATTTTTTAGCATTTTATACGAACGATAAGATCGTAAGCGTTAAAAACAAAAATATTTCGAAATAATAGAAATAAAATTCTATTATTTTCCAATCCGCGCATTTGTTCCCCCTAGACGTTTATTTCAAGCCTATCAAACTGTTGTTTTCGAAAAACATTTGCGAACGTTGTAAATGCCGCTTATGTAATTATTCCACTCGCCGCGACGAGAGTTTCATTGATATTTGCCCAATCGAATTATTTTGTTATTTTTGTAAAACGATCCGATGGTTCGCAAAAATTTCCTACTATCGTAACGTAACATTACGTAATCTGTTTGGTACACTTATCCCCGATATGGATATCGATATCGATTTTTCTTCTTTTTTCTTTTAAATTTATTTATTTGTTTAGTTTTTGTTGTTCTTTACTATACATACCTACGTAATAGGCATCGACACAAGGGAAACTTTTATCGCGATAAGTATTTCCATTGCGTAAACTAAAACTAAACTAAAACTAAACTATAACGAACGTTATCCTAATGAATATTATTTGAGTTGGAACTTTAAATTAAAAAAAAAAAAAATAGAAAAAAGGGAAAAAAGAACGTCTATTAATTTGAAAAATAATATGAAAGAATCATTGATAGGATAATAAAAATAACGATATTTTCGAAGAAATAAAATAACTCCAAAATATTCCTTCAAGTTACATTCACGTGAATCTTTAAATTTCAAAATGATACCTTTTTACAATTAAAGATTTGAGGGGTGGGGTTTATAGACGATCGCAAAAAGTTTAATAAAATTCTCGAGTCATTATTTCTTTCTCTCTCTTTAGTCCCTTGATACCTTTACCATAACGTCATGTTATAACTATAATCGTTACGTAGCTGGAAGATAGGGAAAAGGGGAAAAGAGGTGCTCATAAAGAATATAATTATTATCAAAATCGATCGCTTATATAAAAGAAACGATAAAGATCAAGGAAAAGAAACGATCATTTCTAAAGGAACGACCCATCCATTAGTAATTTTTTCTTCGTTCCAATTCTCTCTTCCTCTTTCTCTCTCTCTCTCTCCCTCTCTCTCTCTCTCTCTCTCTCTCAAACTTGTATCTATCTACCTCGTTCTAACCACATAAAATCGCAGCAAAGTTCCATTCCGGAGAAGCTTCCCGTCGGGAGAACATTCTGCGGCAGACACCTTGATTACAATCCCGGAGTAATTCCCCGTGTCCTTTCACCGAGTAAAGGGCAATCGTGGAAACGTCAGTAAAAACGGGCACATTTATATTTTTCGGAGGGCTTGGCTGCCTAGCTGCCTGGCTGGCTGCCTGCCTACCTATCTCATTCGCTAACAACCCTTTGCCAACCAACCCAACGTCCTCCAACCTCTCTCTTATATAATCGAATTCTCATCAAATATTTAATAAACCGTTCTCTAGCAGTCTTTCGAGAATTTCGATTCGTTGATTCAATTAAGTCTTATTGATTCTGCGATCGATACTGCACTCAATGCTCCGATGATGAGACGAAAAGGGAAAAAGAGAAAAACAGAGAGGAATATGGAAAGTAATTTCTTCATTAGTAACTCGTAATCATTTTCTCGTTCACGATCTTTGAGCTATCGTATTTATCTCTCTATATGAAAAATATTTTTTGACAGTGAAACATATTTCAAATAAGTTCGGATAAGAAAGCATCGACTATAGTCCTTGAACATTTTTATGATTTTTGTGACATATATTATCGATATTCTCTGCAATTGAAAGTTTTAATACATACATGTACTCTTTCTGTGAAAGAAATTTATCAGAGTAACTGTCGTTATTGAAATAAAGTTAAACTAAAACTTCGTCTGAACAAAAAAAAAACAGTCAGAGAGAGGAAGAGAGAAAAAATGAAAAAGATTTCATTTAATTTTTGGAAGAAAAGTAAAAAGCTTCATGAGGGCACTGATTAATTAATAATAAGAAAATTGATAGCATAAGTATGGAAGAAAAGTTGCTCGTGGTGGTCGTTATAAACTAGAAAGGGCTATCATTAATTGTAGAAGAAAGTAACGGGTTACGACTTCTTGATGAGGGTTAAACGTACCGGCGTCTATATTTTAACTATACACTTATATATATATACAAGACATTGCTGTAAAAATATTAAAGTACCTGAGTTTAATTGTTACTCCACTTAAACTTTACGTTTCTTAAATGATCGAAAAAAAAACAATAAAAGATAACGATTAATATACAAAGAAATTATAAAGAACTATCTGTAATTTATTTAAATGTATTAATAAATTTTTTAAAAAATTGTTCAATAAACCGAATAATTTATTGTGTTAATAGAACGTCACGTTAAGAGATTACGTAGGAATGTTGTTATGTGCTCTACGAGGAAAAGTCAACAAGCAAGGGCAAAATCCTTCGGATTTCTGGATGTCTCGTTATGCTGAACTCTACCGAAGCAAGCAAACGAACAATGTGTAAACAAATCGAAATCCACGCTTTTGGAATTCTCGCACGCAAAGCGTCCCTTTCGTGTTTCTAACGATATCATGATGATGTTATAGGATTTAAATTAAAGATGTTTTTCAATTTGTCACTCACCCGATCGGCTTCATTTTTGGCAGGAAGAAGAACCCGTGAAGGACTGACGACTGAAGTGACAAAGAAATCAGTTAACCTCGCCGAGCAAGCACATTACGTAATCAATTTGCAACCGACTAAAGAATTACCGTTTAACGTGCTCCGGAGGATGAAGAGACAAAACTCGTACGTATGTTCTAAATGAATGAATTCATTGAACCATCTATGAAGCAACCGGAATCTCTTCATAAGAAAAATAAAAATAAAAAAAATTAAGTAGTCAACACGCGATCGAACACAATCACTTTGACTTATAAAAAAGAAACTTGTCGATTATGAATGAAGATAGTAGAGTCATATTCATTAAAATTTATTAAACTGTCCTACTAATACTAAAATATATACGTACGTATATAAATAGTATAAGTCGCTTATTATTCAAAGTAAGCTATTATAAACAGTTAAAAAA